AAAAGTTCTACTTCCTGGTTATCCTCTCACAGTGGACTGAAGTCTGGAAAGATTAAGGAGAACTAGGACCAGACTTTCTTCAAGGTGGACCGGGGCAAGGGGGGAGGGGGAAGTAGGTCTCACTGAAGTCACAGCCAGTACTAATGACACAATGACAGTAGCTTGGTGTTGATTTAAAAAAAGGCAAGCAAACAAAAAGCCAACTGTGACACAATTGCTTCTGTGATCCAGTCTCTACCAGCTTGTGGGATTGTTTAGCTTTTTGACTAAAGTAAAAAGTTGAATAAAAGACTGCTCTCCTTTCATCCAGTTCCTCACTCCCAGGTTCACAGCGCTCTCTCAGGTCTTTCTGAACCATCTTCTCTTCTATTAGGGTTCACCACTTGTCATGCAGCTCATATTTCTACCAGATCCTCATCTGCCTTCTGTGGAGCCTCTGATCTGAGTGAACTGATTTAAATGGGAGAGATTTAAACCATAGGTTAATTGTAATTTAAATAATCAAGCAATAACCCTTGATTTAAATAATTACTTTTAATCTTGTTTTGCATTTGTGCTTTATTTATTTTCCTAAAGAAAGGTTGTTCCTCACTGGTTGGTAGCTATTCATACCTTTTGATTTGCACCTAAATATATTTTTTACACTAAACTTGGTGCTTATTTTTGTTAATCAGGAAAAAGCACCATATACATATTTAAACAATTAAATATCTTAAAATAAATGTATTCAGAGTACTAATTTTTGCATTTTATTATGCTAGAAAATGATAAATAACATTTATTTAGAAGATTACTTTTAACTTATGATTTGTGGTTTTGGTTTATAGCTTATCATTCAATTAAAATGCAGACAAAACAGCATTTTAAGGATATTTAAATGTTAAATAAAAAAAAATGTTAGATGTGCTAGATAGTTAGGTAGAATGTTTATCAAAGCATGGTTTTGTCTTTAAAATTAAGTGCTTTTTAAACAAAAATTTAATTATCTCTTAGCAAATGGAATTTACTGTATCACAATGTTAAGATTTTAGAACTAGTAGATCTTAATCTCTCACAAATGAGGGGCTTCGTGTACACAAATTAGAAGAGGAAAACCAATCTTTTGTACTTTTTCAATTTCAGTCAGATTTCTAACTTGAATTAACTAGTTCATTGAAATAAACTAAACTGAATAAACTGAAATGAAGAAGACTTCTCTGCACTTGCAGAAGAGGCCGCAGCCTTGAAAAACTGGTTTTCATTTGGTTTCCTTTAATAAACTCCAGCTCTGGGTGCTTAGTCAATGACTTCTCCCAGCTCAGTGGTTTGGCATTTAAAAAAAAACTTTGATAGAAACATTGACTACTTGAATATTATTTAGTTTAAATTCAGAGATTATAGTAAACTTCAGTCTTGATATAGATTGAGAACATAGGGTGGATGAACCTCCATTGGGTGTGTCTGATAGCGTTTCCTCTAAACTGTGGCCTGGCAGCCACGCATACCACACAGCTTAGAGGGAATGCTGGTGGCTGAACTGGCAGCTACTTGGGAATGAGAACCAGATTTTCTAGTAGCCTGGAGTTCCAGGCTAGGAGACTGGAGATCTATAGAAATTCACTGGGGAGATTCAGATTATACATGAGGTCCCATACCCAGTCTATATGAAGCCAGTGACACACCTCTTCCTTTGTGCGCTCAGACCCTTACTTTCCAAAAATACAGAAATGGGGAGTTACTGACACTCTGAGCTGCAGTAATCTATTATGGAATCACACTATCAAGCCATATTTATTGCTTTTGTTAGGTCACATTGCTACGTCTCTGAAATGCGTGTATGCTAGTTTGATTTCATACATGCTATGCCTCTTCATTTTGAGAGGTTGTCAAAGACACAGCTCCCATGGGGTAGTAGCCCAATGCTTACAGTTACCACCATTGTATTGCTGGAGCATGTCTATACCAGCATTTTGCTGGAGCTGCATGTCAGCTTGTGTGGCACAGGAAGGTCGTTTTCTTTAGGCAGCAGAAAGGCTGGGTGTCAGTGGCTTGCAACAGATGTGTGGTGCAAAAGGCAAGGTCTATCAGAAAGGTTTGTAGTGGAGAACAGGCTTCTCTTAAAATGACTCTCAAGCAAACATCTCCCATTGAGTGGTTGATTCCATAAATCCTACTCCCTAGCAACATCCCCTTTGGATAGCGGAAAACAAATTCCCCTCTTATAGCTGCAAAGAGGCTAGAAATAGTTGTGTGGATGGGCAGACACTAACATATAATTGTTATTTTTGTGGTTTTCCCCTGCTTTACTGTACACAATAAGGATGTGTGTTCCCTACTGGCTTGCATGAAGTGAAGTTAGCACAGGGCCCTAGGCATACAGAAGTCAAACACTGGCATTTGTTTTTCAAGAAGCAGCTGAATGCCAGGACTTCTTGGGAACATTGAAACCGCAAAGGCTAAAAGAGGGAAATAAAATCTTAAAGTTCAGTTAATTAAGAATCTCCTTCTCACTCTGTGTGTGCATGTGTGTGTATAATACACACACACACACACACACACACACACACACACACACACACACACACACACTCTGAGCTGTCATAACATACGTATATATCCACTCTTATTCTTGACATCCATACAAATGTCCAAACCCTTTTTGAATCTTTTGAAGTTCTTGACCTCAGTGATAGTTTAATTATACGAATCCTGAAGAGACTGACGCATAATCACAACTTTAAGAACATTAGTTCAACTCTGGTCCAGTGTGTAAAAACTAAGCACTAACCACATTGAGGCCTACAAAAGTTGCCCAGAGTCACATGTCATGGGAAATTCCGCTGAACCGACCTCTTGCTGAGGAAATCCATTCCGAGTCTCAGTGTGGACCATCAAGAGGCACAAATGACATAATTTTTTGTGGCAGATCCACATAATTTTTCCTGACAGATCCAGGAAAAATGCTGAGAACACCACCAGGAACTGTATATGGCTTTTATCAATTTGACCAAAGCCTTTGACTCTGTTAACTGTGAGGTTCTATGGAAGATCTTATTGAAGCTTGGTTGCCCAGGGAAATTTATCACCATCCTAAGATTCATTCATGACCAGATGACTGCTTCCATCCTATACAGTGGAGCCCTTTGCCATTCAAACTGCTGTCAAGCAGGGCTGCACCAATTCTACTTTCCATCTTTCTTATGGTCATCAAGGTGCTCATCTGTGATCCTGTTACATGGCATCAGTGCTGAGTACAGGATGGATGGGAACCGTTTCAATCTTTCCCGCCTCCATGCCAAAACCCAAGTCACATCGGGCTCAATTGTTGAACTTTAGTATGCTGATGATTGTACTGTTGTTGCACATACTGAGGAGGTATGACGACCCTTAACTGCTTCTCTCAAGTATAGCAGTGGTTGGGACCGACCCTTAACATCTGGAAAACAAAGGTGCTTCAACAGCCTAGGACAAGAGAGTTAACTTCCCTGATAAAGATCCTCATCGACGGACAGGAGCTGGAGAACGTTGAACACTTTGCATACCTCAGCAGCCATCTCTCAAAGGCCAACATCGACCAGGACATCCAGTATAGGATCCGATGTGCCAGCTCTGCCTTTGGAAGACTGTATCGCTGTGTGTTCAGTGATCATGACATCAGGACTCAAAACAAAGCTCCTATTGTATAAGGCTGTGATAATCCCAACTGTTCTCTATGGCTGTGAGGCTTGGGTGACCTACAGGGACCACCTGAAGAACCTGAAATGCCTTCACCAGCACTACCTCCAAAAGATCCTTGGCATCAAGTGGGAGGATTATCACACAAATGCCAGCGTTCTTACCAATGCTAACACCGCTGGCATGGAAGCATTGACTATTCAGCATCGGCTGCAGTGGACGGGGCATTGCGCGTGCATGCCTGATGCATGTTTACCACAACTGCTATACTCCCAACTCGGCCAAGGACAAAGAACACGTGTGGGCTAGAGGAAATGCTTCAAAAACGCCCTCAAGACAAACATTAAGATGTGGCACTAACATAACAAATTGGGAAAAACTAACCTAGGACATGGGTACATGGAGACACCTTGTGAGAGAAGGTACATCTATCTTACTTTGAGGAAACCATCTTGCCCTGCAGGCAGAAAAATGACACAAATGGAAGGAAAAGAAACAAGACAAAGAAATCTGTGGCCTGACCCTCCCTTTAACCACCACCTGTGGTGTCGGTCTCTAGGAGCAGCCTTCTTAGCCATCAAGGGACACATCTACAACCCGCTACCTGGCCCATGGGAGCGATCATCCACAAGCCTGAGGGATCGCCGCTGCCACCGGTGGCAAGGATGACAAGGAAGGAAGGGCAGGAAGCAGGCAGGCAGGCAGGGCCAGGGCCACAGATAAGAAGCGGTGCCAGTTTCAGTGCGGAGCGGTGCGCCTGCTTCGGGCCCTGCCGAGAGGCCCCTTAGCGCTCGGCCGGGCACGGGGTGAATGCAGGGCTGGGGCTCGCTGCAGGCGCCAAGCTCCCCGCGGCGGGATGGGCCGTTCCCGCGGCGTCCAGGGAATTCTTTGCACCGTGGGGATTGCACCGCAGGTCTTTAGGATCCACGGGAGCCCTAGAGGCCTCGGGCAGGCGGGGGGCGCAGGGAGGAAGCAGAGGCCGGGCTGGAAGAGCCGAGCAGGCGCAAGCGGGGCTGGCTGCTGCCGCGGCCTTCCGGGGGCGCGTCCCGAGCTGGGCTGAAGCGCGCCTCGCTCCGCCCCGCGGAAGCCGCGTCTGGGGCCCGCGCGAAGGTGCGTGCTGCGCT